TAAATTCACCCTTCTTTGACAAATCCACTTCCTACTATCTTTCTTTTTACTCCTTTGTCTTCTAGTTTCTTTTGTTCGTGAAATTAGGCTGCATGAAGCACGAAGTTTCTCAAGAATTTGTCCTATACAAAGCCCGAAGAGAAATTCCAACATTATTTTGTATATAATTATGTCTAATCTTATTCAATTCACCCTTCATCGAACACAGATTTCGAGCGCCTCATATAACTAAAAAACAGTATATGTATGTCTTCTTTTATGTGTTGGAGCACTTGTTGACAGACTATAGAAAGACCTAAATGCAACCTCACCTACTCATCCATGGCCGTTGTAATTGGCTCACTTTATGAAAAAGACATCTAATCTTCGATTATAATACTTCATTGATGAAAAAAATAACAAACAAAATTGACTATCTTATTTTAGTACTATTTTTTCTATATAAAAAATTTAAAAGTGAGTTTTTATCATTTCTTTATGAAATTAAAAAATCGATGAGTTTGACAGACTAAAGACTTCAAAACTCTATAGAATATTTCACTTTAAATCTTTATGGGTATATTTTAAACAAGTTTTATTCGAATCAATTACAAGTATTCACTTATTTCAATATTCTAATGTATTTTGACTTTTGTGAGGTTGGATTATAGTTACTTAAAAAATGATCAATCCTATTATTTAATCCAGGAGAAAGTCATTTTGTCCAGATTAAATTCTCATAAAATGCTACCAGAACCTCACATGTAGTGGCCCCCATGTTGTGTTAAAAAATTGTCAAAAAATTCACCCGCCCTCCTATTCTGAGTTGTCTATATAGTTTCTATGAAATTTTGTTCTGTACACATAGTATTTTCGATCCAATATGGGATATCATAAAAATATGAGTTTATTTTGAAAAATAAAAAAGAAAACAAATGATTGTGGTTCCTTTCTTTTCCCGAACGGCACAATATGTAATGTACGGAACAATAGTTGGCACGTATATATTAAAATAGCTTTTGACTTCGAGACGTTGTCCTCGTACACAGTTGTAAGAGTAATTTAAATTAACAAAAGGTATGTATTTAAAATTCAATATTTTCAAGAACTTTCAAAATTCTGAAGTTTTAACAGTTTTTTTAATAATCTGCATATTTCAGCTTTCAAGATTAAATTTAGCAAAAATTAATGGCCGCCTTCCTCACACTTCAATTAGTGTAATTTTGAACCCCCGATCTCTAAAGGTGAGACCGCACATGAAAGGCACGTTAAATCTATGAATCTCAGTAATCAACTTAAATCTTCCACGATTTTGCCCCCAACTTTAAATCATATGAAATTCACATGGAATTTTAACGTGTTTCATCATACATGGACTCGTGTTTTCATATTTAAATATGTTGACAACCTAAAATACCAATTTTAAAAGTTGAGAACCAAAACCATATAACTTCAAAATTTTTGAGTCCAACTTTAATTTTTTTCTTAAATTTACAAGGCATGTTTAGTATAAATTGTTAAATAGGACTGAATTTTTCCATCTTGTATGGACTCAAGTTCTTAGACTTAAATAGTTTAGTGACTTGAAACTTCACTTTAAAGAAACCAAAACCATATTGATTAAAAGATTATGTAGTCCAACCTTTTTTTTTTCTTTACTTTTTAATTTTACAAGGCATGTTTAGTATAAATTATACAACATGACAGAACATTATCATAAAGAAACATTCATAATTTCTTTCTCTAACATATTAAAAATGGAAAAACAAAAGCATGAAAGAATGATGCCACTAGAAGAAGGACGAGAATGGTAAGATGCTTATAATCATTCCCCATTGCTCGGTCCCATGGTGTTTTGTTGAGGTTAGGGTCAAATCTCAAACTCTAGTACTCTAATGTTACGTTGGTATTTAAATTGATAAGTAACTGTAGAATGCGTTGAGTATAATTTACTCTTTAATTATTTGTAAGCAAAAATGTGTTCAAAAAGCTAAAAAATAAAAATAAAAAAATGAAGTAAAGCTTTAACTTTATGATCTGAAATTCAATAGAATCGTCGTAAGTTATAATCTTGATAAATCAACGACTATGATCACCAATATTTTGAGTCAGAGAACTTAACGTAATGGATCCTTTGTTAAAAGTAGTTCCCGACTCTAAGTCATCGCACTCATATTTACATTGCAAAATATGTGCCAAAAAAATCAATGTGTAAGGAAGCACGAAAGCTCGTTCCAGAATCTTCAATAATGTCATAGAGCGTCATGGATTACCCAATAAAGTCGCAATTATTATGCTAAATTACGAAGCGTTATTTCAGCATTCAAACTGACCATAGTATTTCCTAAATGTAAAAATGCTGTCTTTTCACACAAACACATTCTACCTTTGAAGCAACCCACAGATTTCCCATCTCTTGACTTTTAGGAGCTGAATTCAGGGCAATATTTGGGCAGGACTTCTTGCAAAATATTTTGCAATCAAAACCCAATGATAAAACAACACGTGTTACATAAACTGATTTTTATTTCAAAACATTCTTAAAAGGGTTCCCAAACGTGGCCCTGTCAAGTAAAATTTAATCATAAATTTCCTTCTTCTAAACTAACAAACATTGTATACATGATCACACGCTTTTGCTTGAGTGATTTAATCATGGCAGTGTTTGACAACATGCTGGCGGGTCCCACACTAAGCGTTCGAAGCAAAATTTGCTTGTCAAAAGTGACAGGCTTCCCTATGCTTTACGAAATTGAAGTATTGCCATTTGTAAGATGCTTTCTAGTATGTAGATGGTATTTACCCAATTAAAAAGTAAATAATAGAAAATCAAAAAAAGGTCAAAAAATAAAAAACAAGAGAAGAATTGAAAACACGTCCTTAGAAAATCGAAAGCTAGATTGGAGCCATGTCTCAAACTAGACATTCTAATTAGGGGTGGACAAAATGTCCAGACCAGATCAAGCCAAACCAAGTGGTTCAGTTCAATTCTATAAAAAAAATTAATGATTTTGATTATTTGAATCGAGAATCATTTGGTTTTGATTTTTATTTTGGTTTAGTTCTAGTTCAAAAATCATAACCAGAACCAAATTTAATATTTAATTTTATATATAATAATTAGTGGAGACCTTAATTTATATTCATTTAAGACAACTCATTAATTGAACACAATTTATTAATCAATTAGATAAACAACTCATTAGTTGTTTACACCTTAATTTTGTATTCATTTCACTCATTTTCAATTTACACGTCGCAACATATTGGCACTGCATTTCATCAAATCAGTGGAGTGTCATTTAAGATCAGAAAATGAAATTGGTCAGTTATTTAAAAAGTTTCTAAACTCTTTTTTTACTTGATTGTTTGATGAGTTATTTGTATTCTTCACAAATAGAGGAAACCCCAATAAACATTAATGAAATATTAAATAATTAATATTGCCTGTAGAAGTGAACTGTAAAAATTTTGATAATTCATTCTTTATTGTAGGAGTGTGCCTTCAAAACTATTATAATTAATTTAGTGAATCATTGCTATTACTTATTAAACAATTTTTTGTATGAAACGAAAATTGATTTGTGCATTCAAATTATGAATATATTTTGTTTGTTACTTATGACTTTTCTGATTTCGATGATTGAAATTTGAACTTTCTAAATGTTTGATATTTATTTTCTTATTTTGGTATACATTATAATTTATATGATGCAAATCTAAAAAATTAATAAATGAAATTAGAATCAAACCAAACCAAACCAGAATCGAACAGTTCGGTTAAGTTTGGTTTCATATCTTTAAAAAACTATTTGGTTCCATTATCAAAAGAATTATTGGTTCGTGGTTCAGTTTGGTTATCTTGGTACCAGAACCATGTCCACCCCTAACTCTAATCGTGGTAAATGGTTAAAATGCATTTTTAATGACACCGCTCCTTTGAACTTTACCATTGTAATGGGTGAATTCCTCACCTTAACCAAACGTGTAAAGATCTAAAAAGCTGATATAGGAATGTCAACAAGTCGAATCGAGTCGGCTCGCAAGTCGAAACTCGAGGCCCTCCCTGAACTTGAGGAAAATCAAGTAGGACCTTTTTTTTTTTTGCCCCGACCCAAATTTTTTATTATTATAACTACTACCTATTTAAAGGCAGCTACTGCATTTTTTTTTTCTTTTTTTTTTTTATGAGTCAGCCCTTGGCTCATCAGGCCAACTTAGACTCGAACCGAGCCTTGAGACGGGTCGATTTGGACTTTTTTCGAGTCGAGTCATGGGTGTCTCAAGTCAACGAGTCAAATTACCATAATCAGCTCGAGCTTTTTCCGAGCATAACCACGAGAGTCCCGAATTGACGAGTCAAATTGTCATCTCTAAGTTGATCGCTTGTGCCTATATGCTATCCATTTTTTTATATAGTGTGTTTGAGTCACATTATTTTGAAAGAATGTATTTTAAAATAATAAATTGATATAAAATATGTGGTTAAAAATGAGAAAAAGCTTTGAATTTAGGTGTAACATTATTTTATTGAAGATTGTGTGGTTGAAATAATGTCAAATCACTGTTTGAAAAAAAAAAAAAAATATATATATATATATATATATATATATTTTTTTTTTTTTTTTTTTTTTTTTTTTTCTTTTTGAAAGAATGCGACTCAAACACGACCATAAAGTTTACTTCCTCACCCTGGAATGAGTTGGTCCATCTTTTGCGGGAATCTAACATCTTTAGCTTATCTATGATCGCCCTTACATTCAACTACATTTTGCCCTGGTTTCTTCAATGGACCGCTTGTTTATTTACTCTAAAGGGCCCATGCCACAATTCCTATCTTAATCGCCCCACTTTAACCCTCCTAGGCCGTAACTACCGCACTAAAAGGTAGAATACAAAATGCACAATGACAATGGTTGTCGACCAATTTGGCACGATGATCACAAGATATTGGTCGACGCAAAAAATTTCGTGGTATCATTATTTCAAACAATTTTATCTAGACTTTTCCAAAACTCTCATCACAGAACTATTTGTCCATCTTCTCAAATATCACATCATGAAAAATCAAAGAAAATTTCATCACGTAATTCCAAGCTTTTGACAAATACACACCACGAGTATATATCCCTGATCATTTCTCCATTCTCAATCAATCTCGATTCCAATTCGAAAAAATGAGTTTCTTCAAATCCTTTTTTGCAATTTTTATGCCTCTTCTGTTCATCCACAGTTATGGGATAATGATCACCGTTCAAAACAACTGTCCCTACACTGTCTGGCCCGCCGCCGTGTCCGGCAAAGCAGTGGCCGGTCAAGGTCGCCGCCTCGACAGTGGCCAGACATGGACGCTCCTCTACCCTTCAACGAAGTTAGTCAAAATCTGGGCTCGTACTAATTGCACGTTTAATTCATCGGGTAAGGGTAATTGCCTCACCGGAGACTGCGGCGGCTTGCTTGAATGCAAAGAGTTAGGTGCATCTCCGGTGACTGTAGCCGAATACGGCCTGAACGATTTCGCCAGAAAAGACTATTACGATATCTCTGTGATGCACGGGTTTAACGTGCCGATATCATTGACCCCTACTTCAAATGGATGCACCAAGAGCATAAGATGTGCGAGGGATCTTACTGCGGAGTGCCCGAACGTATTGAGAACTCCCGGCGGATGCCATAATCCTTGCACGGTTTATAAGACGAATGAGTACTGCTGCGGCGTCGGGCGGTGCCAGCCGACGGATCTCTCGAGGTTCTTCAAGATTCGGTGCAAGGACGCCTTCACGTATCCCGAGGATGATCCCACTAGCACTTTCACTTGCCCCCCCGGAACCAATTACAGGGTTGAGTTCTGTCCTTGATGGGTTCAACAACGGCGACGGAATTTGGCCGGAGAAATTGGTAAAGTAGAATTATAAAGATATGGAATAAGAATCTAGTGATGTATACTTGTGAGGTAACCAGCCATTATATGGTGGAGTATTGCCTATATTCTTGTAGAGTAATTAACTTGTTTTGATGGAACTTGCTTTGATATATGTTGTTTATGTTTTTGGGAGTTGTTAAAAAGATTGTTGTTTTTGGTATTTTTTTTTTTTTTTTTGATAATTGATCTTGTTGTTACGGTGGAGAACGAAGTTTGATGAGATTTTTCGTAAGATAATATTTGAGTGGACAATTAAATGATCAAGATAATTTTTTGATTGGGTACCCAAACCATATATTCATATTAGTATGTTTGGATTTTTATGAGTTTATTAGATAGTGCATGTCGAGGTTTTTTAATACCATCTAGAACTGAACATTTGGTATATGAATAATTTTTTATAAAATCTGAGATTCGGACTCATGAGAGATTTCCTCCAATAACATGGTTTCTGATTTTTTTTTCTTGTTTGTTTGGGTTTATAACTATGTAATTAATCAAAGTGGAAGGGTAAATTGATGATACTTCAATCAGATTCAGATCACAATTGGATGGATTAGGTGGTTCGTTTCAATTCCAATTGCAATTGGTGCGATTTTTTTGTTTCAAAATAGAGAATTGAACTTCTTGATTTGGTTTTCAATTATATTTACAATAAATGTTGATTTGATTTTGAAGTAATTTTAAAACTTCGAATCACCAAATCCTATCCTAACCCCGGAAAGCTTCCAACACTCTCGTCTCCTTGTCCCACACTTTCCCCACTTTTGTCGTTTCCTTTTTCTCCCATCCACTTTTGTCTTGCACGACTTTCATGTAGCTTCTCAGGAGCACAACTTAAGAATTTAGTTATCGAGCAAGGCAAATTTAAATAAAATTATTATTTTTTCAAGAGGTTATTAGTTTGCAAATTAGTCTATGTGAGAACTAGGACATACCTTAGGCCTTTTGTTTTTTACCAGAAAATGTGACTTGACACAAATAGCATAAAAAGAGTCCAACGTACGACTGTAACCACTTTCTACTTTAAAAATAGATGAACACTTTCTATTAAGAATAATTTTTGGCGTACATTATGATGTTCGTAATGTATTTATAGCAAATCCCTTCTATTAAACATTAATCTTTCATGGGAAGTGCTACTGTGACTGAGGCTGTCAAAGCCTATGTTCGTTTAGCATTTCCAATCTTTCATGACCACTTTTCATGGATCTATGGATTTTCAAACTTTCTAAATCCATGCGAGAAATTTAATTTGAAAACAAAAATACGTCAATATAGAAATTATGATTGAATTCATGGCAAGCTTCTTTATTTGACCTTTTAAGAGCATATTCGAGAGATTCTATATTGAAAGAACATATTACTCCTCATCCCAATTATATAGACTGAATTGTCTTTTTCTCTTATTCCAAATATATTAGGTCTATTTTCTAATTTAAAATATTTTGTTTTTTTCCTTTATCAATATATCATTATTCAATTTTCCCACTTAATATGCCAACTTCTTGAAATCATTCAAATATATGCATTTCTTACTTCTTGAAAACACGGAACAACTTTCATTCTTTCTTCTCCAGACTAAATCATTCAAATTCTTTACTAATTCCAACAATAATTTACTACTATATACTGAAAATTAAATAGGGGTAAACTAGGAAAGATTTTGATAAAAATTAATTTTCCAATGACATTAAATAAGATTTCTTAATTATTGTGAAAAACGAAACAAACATATATAATTGGGACAGGTGAAGTATATTATTTAGAGACTATTTATAAATTTAGAGAGTTAAAATTTTGAAGTGCTCCAACAAACTCTTTATATTTAATACTTAATTTTATTAATCCCAATAAATACTTATTATTTTAATCTATTTTAACTAACTTTTCTATAAATTATTTTATTATTTTTCTACATTGAAAATTGAAACACTTTGAATGAATTTAATTTTAGAGAATGAATTTGGCTCTCTAAATTCGGAGAGTCAGACACACTCTCTAAATTAAAATGTTAATTTAAAGAATCTTTGAAAAAATAATATTAAGGATTGACTTTTTGAAATAGAGAACATTTCTTGGAAATGCTCTAACAAGGATAATTCTTCCCTGAAGTTTCTAAGCTCATGTTTTTAAAGAGCATTTTGGGAGTTACTAAACCATCATTATTGATTTCGTGTCTCAAGTAATTTCTATCCTTTAGTTGATTATTTGTCTAAAGTATATTAATAATATCTCCACTTGGAATTCTACTTTTTATCTAATTAATTATGTGCCATATGTTTCAATTTTTTCTCAACGTTTTTAATATCAGTGTTTTAACATGCATATATGTGCATACACTCCAGACATTTTCGAAACGCCTCACATATGAGGTATGTTCGTGATGATGCAATCATCAATTTAGTTGACCATATTTGCACACTTAAACATCATAGTGCACACACATTTGTGTTAAAAATTATGTCTAAATTAGCCTAACAAAGGCCATCCTATTTTTATTACTTCAAAAAAAAGAAAAAAAAAAGGGAGTAATTGAGCCCAACAAACATCAAATTAGCCCAAATCACCCAAATTCATGAATTACATACAATATTTGTCGCATTTTGAAAAATCAATACCAATTTATCGTAGAGTTACAAACTATCTACATTGAGCCCGAATCTCCTTCTTCTTTGGTCTTCCGCTAGTTGCAAAAACCTTAGATGAAGAAGAGGAGATTGAATTTTATTTTGTTTCTCCTTAAAATAACCTAATTAAGAAAATCGAAATATTTCGAAAGAATATCGTTTTATTATTAAATAAGACAATTTAGCATATATCAATATTTTAGAAAAAGATTTGTTCTTTTCGAAGAACGACTTTATACAAATTAATTGTTTTAAAAATAAGTGTTAATGCTCTTTAAAAAGCATTACTTTATGAATTTAAAAGAATACAACAATGTTCTTGAATGAACATGATTTTTGTATAATAGCATTATAGAAGAATATACCACATTATCTTTTTCCCAAAAAAAAAAAAAAATGAAGTACAAATTAAACAAATAAAGATTGAATTGTTGTTCTTGAAGAAAAATAACCTTGTACTTTGAATTTTTTTTTTTAATAAAAAAAGTACTTTATTGCTTCAGAAGAAGCAAAAAACTTTATGTAATTATTATAGTGTTATTCTTACTGATGAATATTCCAGAAGAATATTGTGTAATTATTTCGAAAGTATTACATTTTATATATTAATATTTTATAAAAGGTTACATTTTTGTTCTCCAAACTAATCTTTCTGATGAAGCATAACTTTAGTTTATATCAATTTTCTAATTCAATTTACATAGTTACTCATGAAGGGTACAACATCTTAAGTTTTGATATTTTAGAAACACATAGAATTTGTTGCTTTTGAAGAAGTACAAAAAAATATATATATTTCTGAAAATTGTATTGTTGCTTCTGAAAAAGCATATCATTATTCTAGAAAATAATTATATTATTATAGCTCTTGAAGAAGCACAATGTTAATGTCTATATATAATTTTATTGACATTTTAATTTATCTTAAAAGGAAAATATTGATTAAGTTTACCTTACTATTGACATATTGGTTACTTTTGCATATCGAATTGAAAGTATTGAGCTCCTAGGAGTTAGCATTATGACCAGCCTTGCCATACTTTATACGAAAATTTTAGTTCAATAATTTAAGCCCATTGTTGTTTTAAAAGTCGAATAATAATGCTTACACTTTTGAAGTTGAAATTTGGCTTATGTATTCTTGGCATTGGTTGTAAAAATAAAATAAAAGGAACTTGAGAAATGAAGGCTTTTGTAGCTAATACCAGTACCATAGATCTCAAATACAAGCACTTTCCACTGTGCCGACTAAGCTAGATTGCAATCAAGTTTATTATTTATGTGTTGGTGATATAGTTATAGAATGTGAAATTTAGCCCCCATTTGTTTTTCATTTTTTCCCCTATTGAAATGAAAAATATGACCATTATCCATCACATTATACTACCAAATTTGAATTTCTATATCTTGTGTGGGGCTCATAACGATTATATTTTTCATTCTCATTCTTACAAAAATGAGAAACAAACAGAGCCTTAATGTTTCCAAACTAGTATGCACATCTCTAAATCAAATTTTCACTTATTCACAATTTATGCATGATTTTAGTAATAGGTTTGAATTATATTCGGCAATTAGTATGCTTTTGATGATTAGATTCTATCTGTTATTCAAGTCATTGTTTTTCTATTGAAATTCATATACATGTTATATTTCATAATTCATATGCATTTGTTTCTTAGTTAAGTATTGTATAAATATTGGTATTAATAAAAATAAATAGATATTTTGATAACACTATAGATCATCACGTGTTCGCTAATATATTTTTGATATACTTTTATGAAAATATTATTGATCAAAGAAGGGTGTTGTTACATGGATATTTGAGAGGGACTTGCGGTGCAAATTGATATAAAGCTGTTGTATAATACAGAGGACGAATTGATATAAGTTATTGTACATGGGTTTGGACGATTTGACATAAGTGGCACAATAGAATATGGATTTAAAGAAATTAATTAATAGAAGAGAAATCATGAGAGTCACCACGTTCTTTATGGCAGTGAATCAATTATCAAGATGATACTATTATTTTTTTTTTGGGGTGATCGAACAATGTTCATTAGCAATATTGTCATGGCATAATTGTTGGCTAGATGTATGCAACCCTAATGTACTTTTATTTTTGAGTAATATTATTTATAGTCACTCACTACGATAGTCGTTCTATGTGATATCCTACATGACGGTTTGTGATTTGATGTTTTTGGGAGTTGTTGAAAACATTGTTGTTTTGGGTTTTTTCTTGATAATTGATCTTGTTGTTACGGTGGAGAACGATGTTTGATGAGATTTTTAGTAAGATAACATTCGAGTGGACAATTAAATGATCAAGATAATTTTTTGATTCAGTACCCAAGCCATATATTCATATTAGTATGTTTAGATTTTTATGAGTTTATTAGATAGTGTGTGTCGATTTTTTTTAATACTCTCTAGAATCGAAAATTTTGTATATGAAGATTTTTTATACTTCTTTTATATAGGAAAATATGAGATTCGGACTCATGAGAGATTTTCTCCAATAACA